AGCAAGCAGATATTACTGACAGGAAGGCTCAATGAACCACCACGACGCTGGGGAGCACTGCGGTAGTTCATTGAAAACTACAAGCCAACACCTGCAAAGGCTGCCGAGACTTTTTCCCATTCGCAGAATGCTGTGAACTAATGATGTGTCCGGGCGGGCAGAGCCCCACACAGCCCCTTTTTTTTAAATTGTGCCAACTAGCAAACTCACGGGACTGGTTTATGAGCTCAGCACAGGAAACTCACTACAGGAAATGAGGTAGCAGGGGTAGCAGGAGGGAAGGAGGACTTAGAACAAAACATGTGCCAAAAAGACAAAGGAGGAACAGTTGTTCTGGGACTTTGGAGAAAACATTTGCCTTGCTGGCCTCTGAGAAGGAAGGAGCCATGAGAAGTTTCCATCACATGGAAGGCCCAAATTATTAACCCCTTGGCGCCTGGGTCTTCCGGCCCTATAAGGGTTTCAGAAGCTGGAAGATGGGGTTTTAGGGTCATGTGACCGCCGTGATTCGCTGTCACAGCGGTCACATGATCGGGAAAGGTCCAGATCGCAAGAGGAGATCGGGACCTTTCCGTGAGTACCGGACATGTGTGCTGGGAGCTTGCATTTGCTGTATGTAATATCTTACCAGTCTTCTATTGCTTTCATATAATTGTAATAGTTTGTATGTAATTATAGACACCAAGCAAAACAGGTAGGAGAGGCAGCAGGTAGGGATCAAGCAGGAGCATAGTTGGTGAACAAGCTAAAGGTCAGTAATAAGTGGTTGCAGATTGGGATCGAGCAGGCGCATAGTCAAGGAACAAGCCAAAGATCTGTAACCAATTGTTGCAGGTTGGGATCAAGCAGAAGCGTACTCAAGGAATAAGCCAAAGACCAGTAACAAATGATAAAGAAAATACGTATGGCAGCAGGAGCATAAGGAGCAAGATATTGGCTGGAGAAGAGTACAATAATCTGGCAAACAGGAAGTGCTAAAGGCATGGCTAAAATCAGGAAGTTCATGGGAGGAGCAAAGAATTCAAGGTTCACCAGAAACAAGGTAGAAAGTAAGTTTGTCTTAGGGATTAAGAAGGGTGCTGTCCAGCATCTAAGGTGGCTCAGCAAGAAGAGCTATTAACAGAAGCAATAGAGATCTTGGGTTCAGACTCGGGTCCTGACAACATCCTTGACATAAGTATGTGGTAAACAGGCTTATCTGACTGGGTATAGGTTGTATGGATTGCTTAGATAGCTCCTTAGATTATATACTGTAGTTATTTGTTAAATCTAGGGCAAACAGATTACAATTTGACATTTATGGCCATTGTAAAGGATAATTTGGGGATTGTACAATCAAACCGCAATGAGTGTACTGATCGTAATGCTGGATACACACTTTACAATTGATTTAAAACATTTCCTTACATTTTCATATGTTAATAATATTTTATATATTATTTTATGATTATTTTTAATTATTTTAATACACTTGATAGATTGTGCAATCTGATTTTAATGTGCGGGGTTGTACTGAAAGTAATGGAAACGTGAACATAACTTTTTTATTAACTTACATGGCTCTATCTTGGTAGAGTAACTCTGCCTTTACAGTAACTCTGCCTCTTCTTTTTTCATTGCAGGTAAGTATTGGATCCCAAGTAGAAGCACCATGCAGTCATTGAGTTCAACAAGGGGGTGCAGGCTGTTCGACATCCACAGAAGGATATACAATGTTTACTGAGACATTGAAACATTGACAAGAGCAATGCGCACAACTGGCGGAAGACGTTTAAAGAAGGGGAAACCAGCACCAAAGACAACCCACATCCATTAACATTGTGCAGCCATCTCTGAATGTCGGACAGCCTGCACCCCTAATTTGTTAAGAACTCAATGATGGCATATCGCTTCTGCTTGGAATCCATTATTTACCTACAATGAAAAAGAAGAACAGTTACTATAGAAGATGAGTTACTCTACCAAAACATGTGGAATTTAAACAACCTACGTAAGTTAATGCAAGTTTTTCGCACAAAATATTTTATTTAAGAAGCACAGGTCATTATATTTTAAAGTGAACTATGCAAGTCTGAAGAAATCTTATATATGGACTTTTTGGATAATTATATGGACACTGGTATTGGAAATTGACACTGTTTTTATTATTTTTATTTATTTTTATTCATCTTTATTCATCTTTTCATATTTCACATAATTGTTTATTTATGGTGGTATGCAATATAAGTAATAGCAACTGGATATATAATTTCAAGTGAAGTGCGACACATTAAGGTACAGTATATATTACAAATACACACATCACTGTATATACAAGGTCAATTTTATTATCATTAAAGATAAGGGGAATAGCTGACATGCCATCCATAATTTGGAGCAGCATAAATATTTCAGGGGAATAACAAAAAAAATGTTGTTCCAATCTTCAGAGGTCCTGAAAAAGTTAAAGATAGGGAAGAAAATTATTATTTAGTGTTATGAGCTGAAGAGAAAGGCAAGGACATTGACACATGGGGGGGGGGGGGGTGACTGCAGAGAAAAGAAAGCAGATCAATGCTTCTTAGAACAGATGCAATGATTATGTGATTCACAATGTTTGTCAGATACAAATTCAAAGTACAAAGTAAAAATGAACAAATTGTATGATATCTGAAAGTAGCAGCCAGATGTTCTGTGATCATAGATATTGCTGAAATAATTCTTCATAGAATACTGTGTACAATAAGCTTGCCAAAAGTACAAGAGAAATTCATTCAATATGCTGATTTTACTCTAAACAAATTCATTGATATTGCAAGTACCCATGATGCAGGTTGGGCCAAATTATAACATATGGCTGAATCTAATATAATAACAAGTTATGCTGTGCCTTTAAACCAGCAAATAGAATGTGCAAACACCATACTGTGCAAACATACAAATAAACAAAAAAGTTAATCAAGTAAAATTCATCATCATTAATCATAAAATTCATTACATGTGCCTTTAACTAAAATTAATTTGAAAAAAATTCATAAAATGTAAAATTAGTAAAACGTGTTCTCCCTGCAATATTGAATTTTGCTACAAGATGGAGCCTGGAATAAATTTACTGTTTTGCAGACGCCAGAAACTGTTTAGTTAATAAAAGTTCCCATAATCCTTCATTCTAAGAAAAGGAAATAGGTGCATCCTGGGAGTTCAGACTCCACGTTAAGAACTGAGGAAAGGAACCAGCTATAATTCTGTTGTGGACTAAACGTCCATCCCCTACAGGCAGCATCACTGGTGAGCATGGACTTATTGCCATCTGCAGTTTTAATATTTCATTGTGTTTGTATGTTTCATACATTGATTATATGTATTTCTCATTTGTTTTTCCCAATAGTTTCCCCCCACCCGGTTTTGTTAATAAAGCTTCAAATTTAAATTCAATGTGGCTTATTGCAGAATAGGAGGGTTTAGCTGCATGTCAAGTTACATACAGGGAAACGTGTAGTGAGGACAGAACAATGGTATACTTTATACATAGTAACACTGGATCAGCTTGGACCAATGTAACTACTGTATGTACAGTAGATACCAGGCCTCAAAATTTCCACTCTGTGTGTGTACATGTGTCTGTGTGTATATATACATGTGTCTGTATGTGTGTGTTTGTGCATGTGTCTGTATGTGTGTGTGAGTGTACATGTGTTATGTGTGTCATGTGTCTGTATGTATGTATGTGTGTGTGTGAGTACATGTGTCTGTATGTATGTGTGTGTGTGTGTGTGTGTGTGTGTGTGTACATGTGTCTGTATGTGTGTGTGTACATGTGTCTGTGTGTATATATACATGCGTCTGTTTGTGTGTGTTTATGCATGTGTCTGTATGTATGTGTGTGTGTTTACATGTGTCTGTATGTGTGTATACATGTGTCTGTGTGTATATATACATGTGTCTGTATATGTGTGTGTGTGTGTACATGTGTCTGTATGTGTGTGTAAGCATACCTGTGATTTGGACAGGATTAGGATTATGTGGTTATTATGCAAGGTAGAGTAGGGCATTTGAGATACTGCTGGCTTGGATGATGGAGTGTTTAGGGGGACATTAGGGACCCTGATGTAAGGCGGGGGAACTCTAAAGACCCTGTTGTAATGTGGGGGGACTCTGGGGACCCTGATGTAATGTGGGGGAACTCTGGGCACCCTGATGTAATGTGGGGGAACTCTAGGGACCCTGATGTAATGCAGTGGAACTCTAGGGACCTTGATGTAATGTAGGGGAACTCTGGGGACCCTGATGTAATGCGGGGGAACTCTAAAGACCCTGATGTAATGTGGAGGTACTCTGGGGTCCCTAATGTAATGTGGAGGAACTCTAGGGACCTTGATGTAATGTGGAGGAACTCTGGGGACCCTGAAGTAATGCGGGAGAACTCAATAGACCCTGATGTAATGCAGAGGGACTCTAAGATCCTTGATGTAATGTGGGTGGACTCTGGGGACACTGATGTAACGCGGAGGGATTCTAAGGACCCTGATGTAATGTGGGGGGCCTCTGGGGACCCAGTTGTAAAGGGCAGAACTCTGGGACCCTGATGTAATGCGGGGAATATTTAACAGTGTAATTTCATTAGATAATTTTGGAGGGCGTGTTTAGGGGCAGAATTAGGGGCAGGGTAGGGGTTGGGTGGGGCAACTTGTGGTGAGTAACTCTTAAGGCCCGGCTAGTAGCTCAGGACTTGAAATTTTGAGCCCCGCATATAACATACCTTGCCGATGCCCCTGAAAGCTGAAAATCACAGCTACTCCAGTGATCTCCTCTAGCTATTGGGTCCCGTGCTGAGCAGCTGCTAGTGCTAGAAGCTAGTGGAAATCACTGGAATAGAGGTGTCAGGGATGCAGGCATCAAGCAAGGGTGATCAGATCAGTGGGCTGAACCTTGAGTAATCAGGAACCAGACTGAAGGTTACAATACGTTTATTGCAATAAATGTCACACACTTCCAACACCAACTCCAGTAAATCATAAATAATTGCAGTGACAAAATAAATGTGACAGTCAGGGGCGGACTGACAACTCATGGGGCCCCCGGGCAATAGGGGATCATGGGGCCCATGTGTCCTAGCCCAAACTCAAAAAAGCCTATGAAAAAGGTACCAGGGGCATCTCATGGGGCCCCCTACTGACCCTGGGCCCTAGTTTCCAAACGGTCAGTCCACCCCTGGTGACAGTGCCAAACCTCAAAAACAACCTAACTATATACAAAATGGAGGGAAAACACATGGGCAGGACAAGATCAGGACATAGACAGGGAGACAAGGGGAGCAGGGAGCAGGTCACAGGAGCAAGTCTCAGGGTCAGGTACAAGGATCAGGAACAAAGACCAGGCTCAGGCAGGGACACGGCTTGCAGGAAGAATACTGAAGCACTGAACCCCAGTTATGGGCAGGAATATATGCTGGTGACCACCGGAACTGCGCCCTTTGACTCTGGGAGCCACAGTTCCACCAGCAGGTGACCCAAGTCCTGACAAGTGGTGTTCACTTCAGTGATTTCCAGCTTCCAGGGTCATCAGCCAGGTATGGTATATACTGGTCATGGTTCAAAGTTGGACCAATGTAACTATGTATAAAATATCTAAACCAGGAATGATCTTTACCTGCTTTACAGTACAAAAGAGAGATTGAGTGAAGATTTTAAACACACACATTACCGATCTGACATTGCAGTAAGAGAGAAATGCATTACAGGGCACAGTAGAGACAAAGAGGTCAACAGGAGAAACCACTGAGAGAAGCAAGGGACATAGGAGATCAGCACTCCTGGAAGTATCAGTTTTTAGCAGAATTAGGTGAAAGATGGGATTTCTATAGAAAGAAATTCAGCAGCAAGGGTGGTGGAAGAGGTATTTACTCTCTTCTTTACAGGTGGATCTTCTTTGGCAATTTAATTTGGCTTCTTCAATTTAAAGCTGCACTCCAACCTTACCATCTGTATTGCACAGAACAGGCTCCTCCCCTGTACTGAAATTACTTACTCTGTTTTTTCTGCATACTGTGAGCTTCTCATATTGTGCATTAAAAGCTGTAGAAATCCTTTACTGGCTGGATGACATCCAGCATCATCTAGTGGTTCCCAACTGTAGTCTTCAGGTACCCCCTGCAGGCTATGTTTTGAGAATTTCCCTTAGCTGTCATAAATACCAAGCCATTGACTTTGATCTAAAAAAGAGAAGAAAAGGGGTTTCCTGATTAGCAGCCAACATCGCCAGAATTACATGATAAATAAAGGGAAAAGACCCTCTATAGGACTTGGGCTTTAAAGGCATAAATATATACCGATATAGTTTTATAAAAAGTACAAGCTTTTTATTGTGTCAAAAATTATATTAACATGTAGACATACCATAGAATACATCATCCAAAGTCACAGTACAGCATCACCATGAAAGTATAAATTGCATGATAAGGATACCCAGTATGACTATGTTTGACTAGCCATTAAAAATGTAACATCACCATCCATACGTATGTTTACAGAGATAGTTTCTATATGATCAACGCGTTTCAGAGTGACTTCACTCCTTCGTCAGGGTTAAAGAACTCTGCATATGGGTGACATCATAATACATGAAAGTGACTTTGGATGATGTATTGTATGGTATGTCTGTTAAAATATTTTTTTGACACAATAAAATGCTTGTACTTTTTATAAAACTTTTTTCGGTATATATTTATGCCTTCAGACTCGCAAGTTCTATAGGGGGTCTTTTCCCTTTATTGACTTTGATCTAAAGCACTTATGCAAGGTGCAGGAAATCCTGAAAACATGACCTGTTGGGGGTACTTGAGGAGAGAGGTTGGGAGCCACTGATCTAGCCCTATTCTCCCCAAATTTACTGTTCTTGGTCCATCCCTTTAATTAATTGGGTTTCATTCAGTCATGGAGGCTCAGAGGTGAAGGTTCTTGAGAGGAGTGCTGTGATGTTTTTGATGTAGTGCTAACCCTGAAGAAACTACTGGAAATTAAATGGGTCCTCCTTACCTGTTCACAGGCCACCCACCTTGTTTTTGGTCCCAGTAGCACACCAACAAATTCAGGCTCTAGTCTAGGGGTCTGTTTAAGATTTACAGTGCCTTGAAAACATATTCATACCCCTTGAAATTTTCCACATTTTGTCATGTTACAACCCTCTCTTTCCGCTCTCTCCGAGGCCTGCTCCGTTCCGCACAACCCTCTCCTCACTCCTTTCTTCCAACTCTCTCCCAGCTCATGTCCTGACTCCATTCTCAGGCTTCTACATTTACAGTATATGCCTCTGCCCATATGTCAGCTCCTCTGGGAAATGTAGTCCTCCAATTAGCTACCTTCTAACAATGTCCTGCAGTTCAGCCTACAAAATCCATAAATATTTCCACCAGAGTATGTGCCACTGAGCTGCAGGACACTGCCATCTTGTTTCTCTTTTAGCATCCTGCAGTCTGAAAAATGGCAGGGCCAGGGTGTCACACTTATATTAGCACAGGGTCATTTTTTTGTGCATATTATTCTCAGTTAATATCATTGACTTCACTTTTGTTCTTCCAGATTCTACATCTTTTTACATTACAAGTTGCAAAGGAAGTTCTGTAGGCATGAACTGGAACAAAACCGCTCTGACTTGTTATTATTATTATTATTATACAGGATTTATATAGCGCCAACAGTTTGCTCAGCGCTTTACAATATAACAGGAGACAGTACAGCAACAATACAGTTCAATACAAGAGGGTTAGGAGGGCCTGATCCTGGGAGTTTACAATCTAGGAGTTACTGCCAACCATGCACAATACAAGAGAAAACAGCAAATGTAAGCAATGGCATCTTCAGCTCAGGCAGCGTTTAAAAGGAGTAATAATCTTATAACAACAGAACAGTCTTTAGGTTTGATGTAACATCAAAGGTCGGGAAAAACCTCATAATGAGATAGCAATGGGAGTATAGTAGCTTCTCGACCGAGGAGATGGAAGACAGAAGGGCAAAAGAGTCCGACACACAATTTGACTTTGTTCACAAACTGTGATATATAATGTGTATCATGTTCTGTACTAGAAATAAATACAGTAAAACGATAGAAGTAACATTTCTATATGCATCCAAACCAGAAGGCATACAGTACAAGGCATGATATTTCCACAGTGAAGGCTGGTAGGGATATTATATCTAATTACTCTAATTTGTGTCAAATCACCCACTGATTATGTACTAACATCCATCCTGATTCCCATTTCCTCCAGCTCAGCTTGATTAGCCAGATTTACAGTAAGGCTCCATGCACATTGGGCTTAAAAAAACACCAGTTCCCTTGGCAGAAAAAACGCTGATATAGAGCATTTTTTGTACACAGTTTAGACGAGTTTAGGAAAGTATAACGTTTTTATTCTGCCAGAAAGCTCCAATCAAAAATGCAAACCAGAAGGGGTTTTTTTTCCTGCCTCTAAATGTTGAGCTTAACCACTTCCCTTCTGGACCATGTATATAAACGGCCGGATGGGAGCAGTGCAGGGGTGGGTCACCTTTTCTAAATGTCCTCCCTCTTCCCTGCCTGTGTGCATTCCCTGGGAGCGTGCGGCACAGCGATCCAATGTCCACTGTGTCCGCTGTGAGGTTCCGATCATGTGATCACTGATTGGCCAAAATAAAAGTGAGAGAAAATCTATTTAAAAGGAAATGAATCCCCTCCTACATAGTTGTCACATGAGTAAGTGCTCACATTAAAATATTTACCCTATTTTCTGTAGACAACTCAATATTTGGGATTTTCTCCTCATTTTCAGTATTGATGATAATGGTCATCAGGACAAATAGAGAGGGGGGATCTCTGCAGCAGGGACACAGATGGCAATAAAACCCATCCCAGGGTTCTAACCCTTTACCACTCTTTCCAAATCTAAATATATATCAGGGGCGGACTGACAACTCATGGGGCCCCCGGGCAATAGTGGATCATTGGGCCCTGTGTCCTTACCCACACTCAAGAAAGCCTATAAAAAAGGTACCAGGGGCATTTCATTGGGCCCCCTGCTGACCCAGGGCCCTCGGGCAGTGCCCGAGTGCTCGAATGGTCAGTCCGTCCCTGTATGTATCATGATTTTAAATACACTGAAAGGAAAAAAACTATGTGTGATCTCTCCTCCACCTTAGCACACTGAACAATTTTTCCAACTGTTGTAAAAGTAGCTAATGGCATCTTGAATAAATTATAAAAATTATACAGTTTTGGAACAAAAAGAGAACAACTATACAGACTTTTCATATGCTACTTAAGAGTCATTGCACATACAACACCATATGCTACAAACAAACCTTTTATTCATTGACATTTTATCTTTTGTAAAAAAAAATAAGTTGTTTTATATAAAAAGATCTTGTATCTGAACATACATAGAACTTATCTTGCATGATCATGTACAGTATATTTAACCTGATACAGAACTTTCCACCAAATGAGAATCCATAATCCATTTCTTCATCTATGCTAAGAGCGCAGATGAATCCCTCCTTCTGGGCTATCGTATTCTGACAGCTGCTGCCAGTGACTGTTAGAATACCCAAACAGCAACTGCATCTGATTGGATGCTGTCACTGTTCGACTGACAAATTTCCACACAGCTCCTTTGATTTGAGGGATGTTGGGTGGGAAGGAGCCAACAGGGCCAACCATGTAGCTAATTGTGGATGGTTCACCAAAAACCAACTGAGGTTGGCACAGTGTATGGCCAGCTTAAGTCATTTAGAAACCAGGGTACTTCCACTGCTGAGCAATCATAGATAATGCAATTTTCTTGGTTGCAGGAAAGATAATTGCTCAGTTCGCCCATCTAAACAGTTAGTGTTGATGAGGTATTCCCTCCCGCAGCACTATTGTGCTTTGGCAGAGGGGAGCCTTCCCTACCAGCAGAACTCAATGATTACTGCTGACGACTATAGACACATGCAAAAAATCCAACAAGTTGGGTTGTACCCAAGTCAATCAACGGATTGACATCACTAAAACCAGCCTGCCTATACTCCTGAA